CGGCTTCAACGGCGGGCCCAGCTTGTCGCAGCGCTCGGCCTCGAGCACACATACTACCTCAATGCTTATCAATGCGAAACAGCGGTTGGAAAGGTGTGTGAGAGGGGGGGTCCGAGGTGCAAGCCACAAGCTTGCTGAAAGGGATCGTCGTTGGTGCGAAATCGCGCGTGTGGATGAATGGTGGGCTCTGTGAAGGCTCAAGGACATACGTGATCTGCGGGATTGACGAAGATCTCCGAAAAATGGCTTCAAACGAGGATGCTTCGGCCCCTCTCTTCCAGCTGCTGAGAGCGAGCGATGGCCCTGGACGTCTGGGGATGCTCAAGGGCGACATCCCGACGCCCACGATGTTCCTCGTCACCACCAGGTCGAGTCCACACAAGACCGTGACGCGAAAGTGCATTCATTCTGTGACTTCTGCAATGGGTGTCAGGGGTGTCCCGAACCACCTAATGCCGCCGCTGCTGGAGGAGGTCGGCCGGCCGCCCAAGAAACGAAAGACGGGTCAAGATGAGGACGGCACGGCTGAGCATGGCAGCGGGACGGAGGAGTCGATGGGCGAGATACGGGTCGTCGACTGCCCGTGTGGAGAAATGTACGTCTGTAAGAAGGTCTGCACTCACCAGCCGCCCGTGGACTGATGTGTGGTGGGTGTGGTGTGGTTGGGTCGCTGTGTGCAGGTTGCTGCGGCAGTCGCTGATAGAGGCGTATCCCGACCCATGCAAGAAAAAGCTGCTCGGACTGCATCGATTCCACTGCCATATGGTCTGGTCAGCCAGCGTACGAGTCAACGCAACCACACCACAGCATGTCTGTGTTCCACTCGGGGCGCCTTCCTTTAGAATTTCCGCGATCCGCTTCTGGCTGAGGGTGTGTTTGAGGGCGATGCTGTGGCCGTGGTCAGAAAAAACACTAAACTCATCAAATCCATCCGTGTGTTTTGTCATGCCATCGGCGCATCTGTCGCGTGCATGTGTGCCTGTGTGGTCAGCAAACGACTGGGGGTCGGCGGAAGGTGTTGAGCAAGGACTGGGTGCATATCACACGCACACTCAAGGCAAGCGCACCGAGCGCAGACGGAAGGGTGGACATGAGGGTGTACAGCGTGTCTGTCTGTGTGGTTCATTAATCAGCCTCTGCTGGCGACATCCATTGCTGAGGAGTGCCCGATGGGCAAGGCGGGGGGCAAGAAGTGCGTAAGACACATACATATCACTTGACATAGACAGACAGACAGACAGACAAGCCAAGTGTCATAGGGGGTGTGGGTGTGGTTTGGTGTGTCGTCCTCCAGGCTGAAGAGGGCCGTTGAGAAGGCACAGAAATGGTAAGTAAGTGAACCTAAGAAAGACACACACACACATACGAGAGAAAATCATGCTGTGTGTGTATTCTATGATGTGTCTTCAGTCTGGATGAAATCATCGAGCAGACCACAGCAGTAAGTGAGTGAGTGAGATGGGACCACTCCACCCACCGTATACCGTGTCACCTTCCCACTTTGTCAGTCATCATCTCTCTCTCTCTGTGTGTGTGTGTGGTTTCTTCCTTTCAGCTTCGGGCCGACTATTCTGTCAGCATCATTGCAAACATACAAGGTGAGCTCGTGGTCGTGTAGCGGGCGGGGCACACACTCCCGTCTTGTCTTACGTACGGCCAGCCACCAACGTGTTCATGTGTCATCGATGCAGGTGGTAGTGACACGCAGTGGCGTGAGACGGCTGCCAAGCTTGCGGCGGCCAAGCCAGAGGTGGCAGGCTTCTCTCTCGGCGGATGTGGATACGATGAGACGTCCAAAGACAGGGCAGCGGCGTTGCAGGCAGCTATGGTAAACCACCAGTGTTGCGGAGAGAGAGAAAAGATGACACAGGGAGAGAGAAAGAGAGAGAATGGGTGGGTGGATGGGGGCCTCTGTATGGTTCAGAAGCATCTCCCAGCTGACAAGCCGCGGCTGATGCCCTGCAGGGGGTCACCAGGTGAGTGTCGGATTGAAACACACCGCAGAGAAGAGCTCTTCCAATGCCTCTGGCGTGTTCTGTTTGTGTTTTGTCTTCTGCAGTAGAGGTGCTTCAGGGTGTGTGGCTGGGCGTGGACGTCTTCGAATGCACGTAACTGACCATACCACACGGGCAGCACGTGATCGGCCGATGCGTGTGTGTGCGTATGGCTGGGTAGGTATCCGCTGCAGATGGCCGACAAGAATGTGGCGCTAACCTTCGATGCCCTCAGTGTGGGCAGGGAAGATGGACAGCAGCAGGGCCATGATGGTGGGTCGGATGATGCCACAGCATTCGTCAACAAGACGCTCGTCGAACAAGACGTAAGCCGGACAGGTGGACGCTGTCATCCATCCACGCATGGTGGCGTGTGTGTGCCTTGATCGATCAGTTGGCCGACCTCCCCGCTGCTTTGCAAGTGGACCTGACGGACACGTCCCAAGCCACCAACTTCGATGTGGGAGGGACACAGCTCACTTTCTCCATCCTTGCCACATATTCTCTTCATTGTCCCTGTGTGTCGGTCGCGCGACGATGAACAGAAGCTGTGTGAGTGGAGTCCTGTTGAGTACAGTCGCGCCTACATCCACCACCTGGCCAACTGCAAAGAGATGAACGCGCAGCTGCTGCTCACCAGGTGATGTGGTCGATGACCAGCGGCACATCTTAACAGAGGCGCACATGTCTGTGTGTGTGGTGTTGTTATGCTGGTGGTTGTTGCATTCATGTCATGCAGGCACAATCTTGAGGCGTACAGTCGGCTGTTTGTGGCGATTCGTGATGCGATAGGGAGGGGGCAGCTGGCACACTTCATCAGCCGTTTCGTCAACGAGCAGCTCAGCTGATGGTCGAGTGATTGGCTTGTGCGTGTGGTGGTCGGCTGTATTGCGATGTCCCTTATGGGCACGATTGCGGACGGGCCGCCATGGCCACCATGTGTACATAGTGGCACTCATGCTTGTCCCTCCCACAGTTGTGCTCAAGAAGGCAGACTGCAACACACTCAACTCATCTGCACATTGCTGGTGGGTGTGTGACGAACAATCTTGGTCTTGCCCACGGGCGATAAATCTATGTTGAGTCACAGTGTGTTGGTTGAGTCACAGTCAAAAGATGTCTGCGCAGTTGTCTCTTTGCCAGTCGACCCCCAATGCCTCATTCCCTCTGGGTGCGGGAGAAGCAACGGACTAGAAGCTCTCTACTTGCTTCTACTTATGGCCCTCTTCGCCATGGTCCGTGTATATCATTGTATGAGTGAATGCATGTGCTGTGCTATCAAATTGACTCGTGCGAACACACTCATTTCCTGTGTGTTCATCAAAACAGACGCATGTACGTCCCGCCATCCCAACAAACGGCACGTACATCCATTCACTGCAAACAGGCGGTTTCACAAAAGGATACTTTCCCGATCAATGCTGTCTAGGGCTGGGCTGCTCTCTACTTGCTTCTACTTATGGCCCTGGACATTGTACCCGTGTGCAGCTCAGAGCCACAGTGCATCAACACCGTGGAAGGCCTTTCTCACGCGACGCAGACAGTGGCGGCCACACCCCTCCTGCGTTTTTCTTCCACTCTGCCGTTTTGACGACTTGGCCATCTCCCTCCCTCCCTCCCTACTAGTACATGTGCTGGCTGGGCTACATTTCTATGTACATGCACCAGAACAGTCACCCACCCACCACACGCCCTGCCTGTCTATCTATCTATCTATCTTTCGGTCACGCCATACTTGCTGGCCATGCCGGGGCCGTCAGGCTCTTGTTTCTCCTTAAGTGGATGCTCGAGGCGGTCCACAACATAGTCAATGACCCTCTGGGCGCCGATCCCTTTGGGCGCCCCTTTCAATGGGGTCAGCAGGACATCATTCATGGTCTTGACGAACTCGTCGGTCTCTCGGTCGTAGTAGTAAAAGTACCACCTGTTGCCGACAACACTCGCACACTGCTTGATATCGTGGACGCGCATGAGCCATCGGAGGTCGGCCCAAGCCTTTTTACATCCAACGATGCCCTTCACGACGGCAAACAACGTCCCGTCGAACATGCGGTTCCTGACAGGTTCATGGAATGGTGGATGTGGTATGAATCGATACATATATGTGAAGCCTCAAACGTTGCGCTGCGGTCGCTTACCTATCGCTGTCATAGTCAAGGGAGATGTTGATGCCATCCTTCTCAATGAGGAACAGGTTGTACTCTTCAGCCGTTCCGTATTCGATATCGACGTCGCGTTTGTCATCAGGTCCGTCAGCACACCACACGACGACACGCCACTCGGTCTGACGCACCAACTCATGCATCTGCATGAATGAATGAATGAACGAATGAGTGAATGAATGACGGTCAGTAAGTGAGTCAATGACGAACGGACACACACACATATGATCGATACATATGATGAATGTGTGTATGAATGACATGGCCGGGCACACGTGTGTGTGGATCCGTCTGTCCGTCCGTCTGTCTGTCTGTCTGTCTGTGATCAGTCTGCCTGCAATCAATGCCTACCGAGGGCCAAAAGAAATAGCCCTCGTGAGTAATTGTCCACTGCCGGTACCTCAATTTGCCGTACCTATCAATCACATTACACAGACGCCAACCGCACCACACACGACAGACCAACAACAAACAGGATACATACTTGCCCACTGTGTGTGTGTACCCGCCCACTGACTCACTCACATGCGATTGATTCCCGCTGCCCTTGTCGAGTAGTGAGCGGCATCATGGATGTACTCACGCAGCTCGGGCGGCACGACGACCTTTGGCAGCGGCTTTTGGCGGTTGGCCCTGACCACCTCCCGCCTCGTGACTCCAGGTCTTGACATGGAAGCGTTGATATGAAGCTGTGGCGTCTGATGCAGTCAGGAAACACACACACACACACACACACAGAGAGAGAGAGAGAGAGAGTTGCGCCCACGGTGTGAGCCAGCTTCCACGAATGCCGCACCTGTTCATCGGGCGTCAGCGCTTCGAGTCGCATGATGGCTGATCGGATGAGGCGGTGTGAGCTGCTCCTGATGGGCAGTACTGCAGGGATGAAGCTTACGGATGAGGCTCGCACCGTGACGGGGCATTCGTGGAGCGCACATGCCCACCACACCAGCCCGACTACGCAAACACCGAAGCGGCAAAGCGTCATCGCGAAGCATCACGAGACCTCTGAGGGCATGCGAGCCATCTTCCTGGAATCCTCACTGCCATCTTCCTGGAATCCTCACTCAAGTCCGATGAGTTTTCGTCGAATTCTCCTTCCTCCTTCCTCCTTCTCATTTGCGAGCTTTTTGGAACCCCCAAAGACCTGTGCGCTGCACCAACACCACGTGTTGGACATCAACGCAGTCGAGAGACTCATCGATAAAAATGAAGAACAAGGGACGGAAGGCGAGCGGGCCGATGGTGATCTTCGCCGAGCAGGCGGAGGACACCAACAAGCTCTTCAAGTGGGATGATGACGATGACTTCATGCAGATCGGACGGTAAGCTTGATGAAAGACAACGGCGGGCGGCGTCACACAGGTGCTTGCTGTGTGCAGGGTAACCGGTTCGTGGTTGGAACGAGTGAGCCGAGATCAGCAACCATGCGTCCTCCAGACCTTCTGCAAGAGGACAAAAAGGCCCAAAGGGTAGGCATGGCCTTCAATTGGACACTAGCAGCTGCACACACGGATGAACATCTGCAGGTTCTCGGTCAAGACGGCCTGCGAGACCTTTGACCGTGTGCGGCTGAACCCTCATCCCAACCTCGTGACCGTGCAGCAGCTGGCCAAGGACAGCAAGTGTGTCTGCGTGCTGATGGAGCGCATCGGGGGGCCCACAGTGTGCGACTACATGATGGAGAGGGGGAAGACGATTGAGAGTGAGGGAGCTTTGAAGAAAGTCATGGCCGGCATCCTCAGTGGTGTGGAGCACTTGCATCAGCACGGGGTGCGTGACTGCTGGCTGCACTCGGCGAGGTGCAGACTTATGGCTGTGTTTGTGTGCGTTGATTGCAGCTTGTCCATCGCGATGTCAAGCTTGACAACGTCATGTTTGTCAATCAAGAGCCCTCTCGAGATGATTACAAGGTGAAGCTGATCGACCTGGAGTTCGGGACTCCGCTCGGCAGAGAGAACAAGCTGGGCGTCGTGGGCACACACGCCTATATGGTGAACCAAGACTGACTGAGACAATAATCCACAAAGAACCGTGCGCGGCTTTCATCTCTTCATTCGCCACATATGTTTCTTTCTTAGGCTCCCGAGTGTTTCAGAGGGAGATTCTCCCAGAGCTCGGACATCTGGGCCTGTGGCGTTGCGCTGTACGTGAAACACAGACACAGAGAGGCGTCCATGATCACCTATGGCCATCCATCTGTGTATCTGTACAGGTATATACTTCTCGAAGGCCGTGCCCCTTTCCACCTGACAGACTGCCGAAACTCCAAGGAATCAATCAAGGTCATCAACCAGGTACGCAGCCACTCACTCAGCGAGCTTACAAGTAAGTGGTGCTCTCTGTGCGTCTGTCTGTCTGTCAGGGCTTCGCGTTTCGCAAGCGAACCAAGGAACGCTTCCCCGCCGCCGTCGACTTAGTCCGCCGCCTGCTGCACGTGGACCCCAGCAAGAGACCGTCGGCCTCTGAGGCTCTCCAACACTCCTGGTTCGGAGAGCCACAGGGGCCATCGACACAAGCCCCGGACTCAGACAAGTGAGACGGCAAAAGTTTGTCTGCCACATCCATTTGCACGCTTACCGTCTGTGGTTTCTCTGCGGTGTGCCTTTCTACGCAGGCGAGACGCGGCCCCGCTGTCGCAGAATGAATCGTTTCGAAGGAGTCTCCTGAAGAAGAACGAGGAAGCACTTCAAGATGTTCATCTTGCGGCAGACCATACATGGAAGCCACCAGCGGCGTGCCGGTCGGTCGTTTCCTTTCCATGCAGGCCCGGGCAAGTGCCAGCCACAGCCGTTGTGTACCAAGCGCCGTTCTTGGAGGCTTCCGTGCCGGACAAGCCCCCCTTCTTCGCCCCGGCCCCCTTACAGCCCCCTGCAGTGCCTGCAATGCACTGGTACAGCCTTCCCCCTGCCGACCGCGACTCGGGATGGAGCGCTGCGGAACGAGAGGTCAGAAGGCCTGGAGGCAGGCAGACCCGTGTGGGGAGCAACAAGGGAGTGAGATTGCATTGGCATGTGTGTCTCTGTCTGTTGTGGGTGGTTGGCTGTATGCAGCCGGTGGAACGGTCGTGGTGCGAGAGGTTCTGTGATTTCATTTGCTGTATGACGAAGCCACCGTAGAGGTCCCCAACAGCGCCAAATCGTCCCCAACATGGCCACACCCTCACCGACTAGTAATGGCGGTGCTGCTGGGATGGGGAGAGTGTGACTGTGAATGTGACGGCGTGGCGGCCATCCTTGGTGCTGGTCCGTGTAGCAGCATTGGTCTCGGTAGAAGAGTCGTGATGTGGAGCAAGACTTCAACCACGGCAACGACCGTCAGTGCGGCTAAGTCCCGACAGCCCCCACACACATCACCTGTCTGTCTATTCATCAGCCGTGAAGTGCTTTGACCACAACGCCTCCCGACGAGCATCAACGACTCCAAGGCCCTTCAGGCCGTTCACGAGCCTTCAACGTGACCTCCCAGGCCTTGCAGTCGATGCATCCTGCAGGAGCAATTCGACGCTTATGCGATTATCTTCGACGCAATGCAGCAGCAGCAGCTGGCCGCACAGGCGCAGAAGTACCAGCACTCCCATCCCCATCAGCAGCAGCACGCCCACACGTCCACTCCAGCATGATGAGCCTCCACTCCAGCACATGGACATGCTCCAACTCACGCAGCAGCAGTAGCGACAGTCGGCAGCCCACACCCCACCATCACAACCACCCACTCGCCGTCCAAGCCCCCAGCAGAGGCGAGTGAAGCCACAGCCACATCAATCTGGGGGCAGTGCCGGCCATCAGCCGCAACAGCAGCAACAGGGTGGTAGCATGGCGAGCCCTGCGGTGCAGGCACACAAGCGGCATCTTCGTCAGGCTATCCTCCTGGCCCGCCCACCCCTCCCTACTACACCAACAACCAGCACCAGTATGGCGGAGCCCCTCACCCCATGGACGGCGGCAGCATCGCCGTGAGCATAAACGGTTGGTCGGTCGGCACACACGCAACAAATAATTGTTGCCTCTCTCTCTCTCCCTGTCTGTGTGTGTCTGTGTGTAGGTTGGGGGGGTGCAGGTGCAGCGAGTGTCGGTGATCCAGAGCCCTCCCAAATGGCATGCACAGGCGCCCGACACCCCCATACACACCTAGACAACACAACACGGCTCTATCGCAGCTGCGCCCTCTTCTTCCCCACACTCAATGGTCCATCCCTTGGTGAGCCCGCACACTCTCACGCAACAAAAACATGCAGACTGGGGTATTGTATGTGCATGTGTGCATGTTTGCATGTGTATGTGTGGTGTGCAGGTGCGCATGCTTCTGTGCCGAAGCGCTTCGCTGAAGATGTCACACAGACGCAGAATGAATGAAGACAGCAATCGCTCCAGGCGTGATGGTGGCAGTGTGGGCGATAGCGGGCGTGGGAATCCGATTTGGTCGAGGGTCCATGCGGCCGTGTCTCGCTGGAGCTGCACATCCTCTACAGCCAGGCATTCAGAGACGATGACGGTCTATCGGATGCAGCATATGTGCGGCAGCGGACCAAGGCGTTTCTCGAGTATGCACATCTAAGTGGACTGTGACTGATCGGGGGGGTGTTGCCCTGGGTCGTTCTGTGTTTGTGCGGGTGTGGGTGTGTTGTGGTTGGGTTTCGGTGATTGACATACTGAATTCCTCAAAGCGACATGCTGTGGCTGTCCACGGCAGGAGTGTTGGTAACACTGTGCGAGGGACTGAATTGATTCGCTTCCTTCCTACTTCTCTGTATGCTTGCTCGATGCAAACAAAGACAGAGAACCTGAGCTAGACCAGCCTTGAGACCAGCAGCCGGCTTTGAGACGAGACGCCCACAAGTCCACGATCCGCTGGGTGTATGCAGCACTCTGGTGCTTAGTCTCGCTCGGCAACGAGGGCTACGGAGGGCGGCCATGCATCATCGCCCCTGCTCTCTTACTCGGACTACTCAGAGGAGAATAATTGACCGATCGCATCCATGCACTCGACGCTTGTCCACACATCGTCGTCATGAATCTTTCCACTCATCCGATGAGAACACCCCAACCCCGTCCATCGCCCCAACACCTGCTCTCTTACTCAGGAGTCAGGACCGCAAACTTCAGCACAATTACTTCAGCAACATGCGTTTCAATCGACGACCTGTAGTCACTTCCGCCTGCCGACCCGCTCCAGCCATCCCCCATTGCATGCGGCAAGATGGCACGGCGCGACAAGGCATCGCTCAGGGGCTTCCCCATCGATGAGTCGGAACTGCTGTCTCAGTGCATGAAAACACGATGAGTCGGAACCACAGTCCGCCAGTCCATGGATACACGAGAGCCTGCAGACTCAAGGCCTTCCCTCCAGTGCTCCGTGTGGAAGACTCAGAGGCCCGTATGTGCATGTATACGTAGAGACACGTTCTTCGTAGATGCATGCACATATGACCTGTGCCTATCGAGCAGAAACGCATGCTTTCAGCCGTGTGTATTGGATGACCGCTGCTGTTGCCGCGCAGGCGATCTTTGATTGGCCGGGCTCAGGACGAACGAAACCCAACGCCTCTAGGGTTTCGCAGATCTGTCACCAGCATCATGAACACACCAAAGTAAACCACACAAAGAATGGATCCATGACTTGATGAATCGCTCTTTGGATCTGTTTCTGCACTTGAAAGACATTCGTTTCAGCAGCATCGCCGCCCACCGCCAGCAGTTCAGCCGCGTGAGGCTGCTGAATATCCTGAAGGCCGAGGCCCGACAGCTGAAGACCCGCAGCGAGACGAGAGGCCGCGGCCTCGGCCTAGCCAACGTCAACAGCAGCCTCACGCGGCGCGCCCACCAATACGCGGCGGAGACCCACACACAGATCACAAGGGCGGAGGTGAATGGCCTCCTGTCGGAGGCCAAGAACGAAGTCTTCGGGAAGAACTATTTCAAAGACGGCATCCATCAGGTAAGACGGCACAGAAAGTGCATGCCTTCCAAGATATTGAATGCCGTCTCCCTTTCAGCCCGGGTCGTGAGATGGGAGGGAGGGGGAAAGTGGACTCAACTGTGGGGGTCTGAGACAATTTGGTCTGAGAGATGTGTTTGTGGCGTCTGTGTGATTTGGGGGAGTGGGAGATGCAGCATTGAGACTTTGAAGCGAGACGTGACATGGATGTAAGACGCTCTGCTTGTGAATGCGAATGTCTCGTTGATTCATCACTTTGTGCCAGCCGGCAATGGGTCAGCCATCTGTCTTTCCACTTGGCTACCGCCTGAGTGGATGACACACACGACGATACACAGTCAGTGCCAGGCAGTGACACACATCGATGAGCGACGAGAGACACACAAAGAGCGCAGAGAGCACCCGCCTCCCTTCCTACGATGCACATACACTGATAAACACGTGACAGAGACCCCCACGCGCTCTCTGACTCTGCCGCTATCCGTCATGTCAGTCATGCCCGTCACCCACTGTCAGCCCTCAGACTACATACACACACCTGCACAGAGAGAGAGAGAGAGAGAGAAGGAAAGCGTGTGTTTATGGGTCTGCCTGCCTTGCAGGCGGATGGATGGTTGGTTGGTTGCTTACGGTCCAGTATTTCTGTGTGGTGTGTCTGCCGTCCTGCATCAACTCAAATACTCTTTGTTCGACATCCTGCACACACAACCACACAACACAACACAGCACAACACAACAAACACAACACGTCGCCGATGTGTGTGTGTATATGTGTGTATGGTGTGGATGGTGTGTATGGCAATGCCTTGAGGTCGGCGACCGTCGTCTTGCCCTGCCCAGACTCACCACCCGTACAGACTCACCTGATTGACGCATGACAGAAGACACATCACATACACGTCTCATCAGCAGAACATTCTGCCTGTGTTTTCCATTTGACGTCTGTTTATCTCTTGTCACGTCCATGACTTGGTCGGGGTCCGCCTCAGAGATATCGGCAGGCTGCAACACAGACACATACACACACATACACACACTTTCACAATCAGCGGCCGGCATAAGTGTGTGGTCCGTGTGTGTGTGTGTGTTGGATGTCCCTCCTACCCTCCCTCCCACCCTCCCTCCCTCCCTCCTCTGTGTGCTTGCTCACCGGCGGACGATAACATACGACGTCTCGAGATGGATCCTTATACGTTCGATGCCCATGAGGACGATCCACCAAGACATCCACCACGAGCCGCACGAACCCTCCGTGGTGTCCGCAGCCATGCCTGTCCTGACTCCAAGGAACCTGATTGCACGAGGAAGAGACACACACGCGCGCACATATGAGCACAAGGGAGAATGACCGCTCTGCATCGCTTACCACTGCATCGCTTACCAACTGCGCACACGGACATCTCCTTGTATGATGTCGGGATTCGCACACGTGTGTGTGTGTGCGGACAGATGTGATGCGTACATTCTATGAATGTGCGTCTGTCTATGGTGGGCTAGATGATGACTTCCACAAAGCATGCTTGAATCGAATGTCCTATCCACGCCATGCCCCACCCCGCACCCACCCGCAATCAACCAACGACATTGGACAGACGGACAGACAGACAGCCGACAGCAATCAAATCGCACACATTCATTCGCCACACATGTAATGCACAGTTAGTATGCGAGGAAATGTCTGCCCCTCCAAGTTTGTACAGTCACCCACCTCTCCCTCCCTCCGTCCTCGACACAGGCGAAGAAAACAGACAAGAGACGACCCACAGACTCACTCAGCTCATGCAGTGTCCGCACAGACATAGCACTGATCATTCGGCTCGATGCAGCACACCGATTTATTCAGTGGTTTATACACATGGAAGTGGTTGTATGTTGTGGTGTAGTCGCGGCCCTTGTTAGGCAGCCAGTTGACGCCACCCGCAGCCGCATTGTTGATACCAAAGCCGGCACCCTCGCCGGGAAACGCGGAACTGATAAAGCAAGAGAACAGACACCAAACAGCCTAGCCTGTGATCGACGTGTCTCTCTCTCTTTCTATGTCCCCACTACAGTACCCGTGGACAGGCGCTGTCTTCTGCAGGAATGTGCCGATTTCCGGCTTTCTGCCGTGGTGCAGTCGGTATGTGGTGCAGAGCGCGTCCCCCTCGCCCCTTTGAAGGTCGGGTGGATGGTACATGTACTGTGCGCCGAGTGCCGAGGGCTTGAACTTGGGCACGCCGGACTGCGGCCTGTAGAAGGGAAACTGGTTGGGCAGAGGCTCGTGCTCCTTCAGGTAGGGCGGGTCGCCACTCTGACCAATCGACCGATGGACATATGGATGAGAAGTGAATGCACGTGATGGACAGACAATTGGGTGCGGTGTTGGCTTGCCTTCCAGAACTTGTAAGGTGTCTTTGTGTCATGGAATGTCTTGTTGAGCTGCGGGCCGATTTTGATGGTGTGGGCCAACGACTTGCCCTCTGGATGGGTGTAGTAGTCACGAACTGCACAGAAAAGAAGACGGCAGGCAGCCAACAACACACGTACAGCAGCACCCAAGTTGGCCAACCAAAAACAATCGCACACGCCACTCATTGCAAAGGGCTCTCTGCCGTGTTTGGTGACCTCCCCCCAGCTGTCTGTTGTCCTCTCGTGTGTGGTGGCTTACTTCCCCTTCCCGGCACTGTTGACGGGCGGACGCCATCGAGCTCAAGCCTGATGACGAAAACACGCAACAGCGGCGTATTCAGAAGCCCCCCCGGGCCTTTCTGCAGTGCAAGGATGGTCCCCACTTGTCCTCTGCCCATGGTTTGAAGGTCCTCTCGTTCGGCAGCGTCACCGGCCGCACGGTCTCTATCCGCATTGTCACACCAACACCAACTCACGCCGCTCAAACAAAGCCGCAAATTCGGATGAGGGTTCAGCCGACCGCTGCTGCTCGGAACAACGCTGCTCACGGGAGCTACTGCGCGAGCTTGACATGCATGTGGTGGGGGCGCCCCCATCCTCTCCCTCCCTCCCCGTCATGTCGCAGCGCCTCCGGAAGGCCAACAGGGGCATCCAAAGTCTGTTCGAGGCTCGAGTTGCCGAGATCTGTGAGAGAGAAAAGGGAGGAGCGCATGTCCAAGGCGAGGATGAACGTGCCGGCGGTGTGGGGGACTCCGAGTATTTGTACAGTACGCTCATCGAGGGCAAACCCATCTCCATCATCATCAAGTATGCATGGAACACATACACAACCATCTGATGTGGGTATCTCTCTTTTCTCCCTTGCAGAGAGCGACTCCGAGGGTGCCTATGGCACGAACAGATGGCGGTTTCGCCGGCAGCAGAGGTGTTCTGCAAGTTCATAGAGCTGCACCCCATACTCTTCCAAGGCAAAACCGTCCTTGAGCTGGGCGCCGGCTGCGGCCTTTGCAGCATAGTGGCCTCCCTCTGCAATGCGAATGTGACTGCAACGGACCGGCCCAAGGTGGTCGCATCGCTGCTGCGTGCCAACATCAAGTCGGCGACCAAGCAGGCGTTGCTGCAGAACATCGCCACTGAGATGGAGGTGAAGGAATTGCTGTGGGGCTCTGAGCTGCGGGAGGAGGGGTGGGGTGCTAAGGGATTCGAGTCATTCGACTATGTGATCGCCACGGACGTGGCCACGGGGAATGATGTCTTCGAGAGCTTACTTGTGACGGTCCTGCAGCTGGCGGGCCCGAAGACAAGTGTCTGAAGGAAGAAATCAATGCACACTGTCCTCGTGGTCGACACACATGTCTCTTGTCGTGTGTGTGTGCCGCAGTAATCCTTCTGGCGCACGTGTGGCGCAATGAGGAGGTTGAGAAACGTTTCTTCCAGCGTCTCAAGGGACTGTTCAAAGTGCGGAGAGCATGCAACGAGGAGCACCTGCAGGGGATCAAGGACATGCTGAATTTGTCATCAGTCGACGTTAAACTGTACGCGGCCAAAGTCAAGACCACCATCAAGAAACAAGTACACCACAAACATCGCCACAGGGCAACCTCCGCCCGTCCCCCCCTATCTTCCGAGTGCAGGAGACGCTGAACCAGCTGGCGCTTTCACAATGCATGTCTCCCCCATCCGACACCCGCCAGCCACCAGACATCAGACGGCGATTCACTCTGGTGACGGGCGGCGACGTGACGCGGTCGTCAAGGAAATCCACCGTATTCGAGCTGCCTGCGCTGTCGCCGCCGCCAGACACACGGCAGGTCACATCTCTGCAGCAGCTGCTGCCGAAGAAAGGCACCACGAAACGGCTGAGCACCGCAATGGAGGTGGCACCGTTTGAGCTGCCCTTCCAGCGCAATGGCGAGGGCAATGGCAATGGAAATGACGGCGGGGCGGGGCGGAAGGGGTCGATGTGGATGCGGGCGATGCTCAAGAAGGGTAAGGAGGAGGGGCAGCAGCGGCTCCTCAGGCCGGCATTGAGAGACGCACTGCAGGAACTGCTCAAGGAAATGAAGGCACACAGGTCAGGCGGCATCTACACAGACAGATGCCCCAGAGATGGCTGGATGGAGGATGTCTCCCTTCGCTCTTGTCTCTCTCCCCTCTAGATACTACTTCGAGCCCTGTGCCTCCTTCGCCACGCAGATGTGTCTCATGCTCCAGATGAAACGCGCCAGCAGAGCGGCCCCGCCGTCCATCCCATCAGAAGACAGCACAGGCAGGTCGCGGGCGATGTCCGGCAGCAGCTTCTCGGCACCCAGCAGCTCAGCGTCGGTTGCGCAAGAGCTGGATCCATCAGCATCAGCAGAGGAAGAGGAGCCGATATTCATCAATGACGAGCTGCCGTCCCTCCCTCTCATGCTCATGGACCTGCAGGCAGGCAGGCAGGCAGGCAGGCAGCATAATACTCTCCCGATTCGTTCTCATGGCTGTCTGTCTGGCTGTCTGTCTGTCTGTCTGTCTGTTTGTGTCTCTATGCGTGTGTGAGTGTTCCTGTGTGCAGACGTCGATTCAGTTCAACTCTCCGCCCGACCCATTCACCCTCCGCAATGCCCGTCGCCTGATCCTGGAGCTTTTCACCCTCCCCAATGGCCGCAGCATGGCCTATGACCTCGCCACATCCTTTCTCACCAACACGGCGCTCTTCGTGGAGTGGCGCAGAGTGCTCGAGAGCTTCCAGCCCGTCATCACGCAGCCCAACCATCGCAAGACAGACACCGCCGAAAATGCTGCCACTGACACACACACGGCTGCCGAGAAGGAGAAGCCCTCGGCACCGATGCAGCCTGGTGAGACGAAGGACACGAAGGATTCCCCGTCATCAGCCGCGAGCAGGGTGGTGGGGGCGGTGGCGAGTGGGAGTGTGCAGCAACAGCACAACGGCCATGTTGTGGGTCCAGACAGCATGACAGCACAGCAGCGGGCTGACTTGGTGACTGCCATCGAACACATATGGGCCCGGGTGAATGCCATGGTCAGCTTCCTCGAGATGCTGTTTGGGGAGCTCAACGAGACATATGGTACGTGGAGCTCGTGTGGTGTGCACCTCCTTATGCATGTGTCGTGTGCGTCTCCGTGTGTGTGTGTGTGTGCGTGTGTGTGTGCAGCCCCGATGTATCGATTCGCCGCAGTAAGAGATTACGCCCTTCACTTGTTCCTGGCGCGTGTCTACTCGCCGTTCAAGAGCGAGATAGACTTCACCTGTGCCCACCCACCGTTCATCGACGGCCAGCAGATCAACATCCGAAACCTCATGGAAATACGCGCCTTTTGTCAGCAGCTGCTGGACCAGCCACCCATCGGCCAGCTGCCCCCCACCAGAGGCAAGACCCCGCCCCGGACAGCCAGCTGACAGAGAGATGGCTTCGTTGTATTGTGTGTGTGTGTGTGTGTGTGTGTCTGTGTGACCGTCCCTATTGCTCCCTGACATGTCTCTCGAATGCCCTTCATCCAAAATGGACGTGCTGCGCACGTCGGCATTTGTCCGTCCAACCATTGTACATGTCTCGCTTGTGGCCTACAAACTCATGTCATGTCATCATAACCGATGGATGTCCTTGCAGCGAGCTAGTCAATCATTCGTGAAGGCAGCACACAGACATGCAGGCATGGGAAGGAAGAAAACCTCATCCAGCCATCCATCCATCCATCCACCGACCCACCGACGCCCCGACGGATGTGCCCTCTTTCATCGAAAGGGACGTACACATCACATGTCGCTGATGAGGCTTTGGCATGCAGCGCGCTCACTCGCTTGTCTGCCTGCCCGCCTCATGCTCACATGCCTGACGTGCATCACCTCATCACTCACTTCATGAATGGCTCCAGCTCCTTCTCCGTCACCTCCCACAGCTTCTTGGCCATCTCAGCATCCTGACCGTACTGCACACACACACACACACACACAGTGAGAACCGATGTGCACGCGTCATAACAGGATGGAATGATGTGACTGACGTACTGACCGCGCTGGGCTTGACCGGGTTACAGTCCTCGAAGTAGCCGCCTGCGTGGGGGAGCACCTTGTCGCTCGTGGCGCACGTCACGCTGGTGGCGGCTCCCTGGGGGATGCTCTTGAACAGACCACAGCTGTCCAAACCCCACAGAAGGTATCCCATGGCTCCCCCGGTGTGACGCTGCAAGTCTGCACACACACACACACACACACAGTCAGGGAAAGCGTTCCTCGCGTGTGTGTCGCCGGCTGACCGGTCATGATTCCTCCAGGGTGGAGTGAGTACGCCGTCACATTGGTGACGCCATCGGCCTTCAGCCTCCTCTGCAACTCGCTGGCGTATAAGACGTTAGCAAGCTTGGACTGGCCGTAGCTGTACCATGGCGAATAATTCTGCTCGTACTTCAAGTCGTCGAACTTGATGCCGCCCTTCGGGGTGAGTTTGTGGGCCTCGGACGACACACACACGACCCGGCAGTCGTCGCCGCTGCCCTTGAGCTTGTCCAGCAACAGATGGGTCAGCAAAAAGTGACCTGCAGACAGACAGGGAGAGGGAGCGAGATGGAGTGTGTGTGTGTGTGTGTGTCTGTGTCTGTTGGTGTGGTCATTACCGAAGTGGTTGGTGCCGAGCTGCATCTCAAACCCGTCCTCTGTCAGCCCGTAGGGGCATGCCATCACTCCCGCGTTATTGATCAACACCTACAGACCAGACACCATGCCATGCAGCCCAGGTGACGGCGGCACACGCACATAACCTCACACGGAAACACGAGCCTGCCTCCCCTTCTCACATGAAGCGGCGTCCCTTTGCTCTTGAACTCGGCTGCGAACTTCTTGATGGATGCAGTTGAGCCGAGGTCGAGAGGCATGAGCTCCACCTGTCCCTCCGGCACCTTCTCCTTGATGCTCTGCAGGGCCTGGTCGGCCTTCTGGCCAGGCCTGCATGCCAATATCACATGGCCGCCCTCCTTGGTCAGCACCGTGGCCGTCTCGAGACCCTGAATGAATGTACACACCCACATACCAGGTGTGGTGTGGCGGTGCAGGCAGTGGTCTGTGGTGTGTTTGTTAAACCAGGCCTGCGCTGCTCCCAGTCACTATGAACACCCTGCATCAAGGACAGACAGATCCGCACAGTCCGACAGACAGTCACTCACCGATGCGTGCCGTCTGTGTGTCGTGTGTTGTCTGACTGACCTGCCCTTGATGCGCTCGGCATTGTCGGCGGCGACTTGTGCTGCTGTGGTTGCAGACCCATAGCCCGTCACCGGACCTGCATCACACGTACCGCACCGCATAAGCAGCTCACACATGCATGGCTTCAAGTTCTCGGCAGAGATCACGAAAGAGACCTGGCTTTCCAAGCAAGTAGTTAAGCACCATGGGGACACCACCTTCGCCGGAAAAAACAACCTAATGCTCGTGAGGGAGATTTCAAGCTCGCAATGGTTCCGTGAAACTGTTCATCGAAACCGCTCTCAGGGAAGAAAAAGGTATCTGTGCTCCCTTGTGGCAGGTATGGCTGGGCGCGTTTGTATGCCAGTATATTTTTCATGATCTGGTTGCCATCTCCTCTCCGGCTCAACTGACTCACCAGCTGGTTCAAATTGACTCAGCATTCTGCGTCTGTTCCATCGTCCCATGGCCAGCACCGTACAGCCATCACCCGCCCGACCACCCACCCCTCCGCCATTGGCAAGCGACTCACCCTGCCCGGGCCGCTTGGGAGATGTTGCTTCTGATGGGGCAAATGCGGATGTGGAGAAGGCCCTGGCGCAGCTGTTCATCTCTCTTGGGCTGATGCGCTACGAGGTCGCCGAGGTGCTCAGCTTCAAGCCGGAGTTCAAGAGCGACGCTGGCTCAAGGAGGTGCCAACAGCTGCTCACAGCTACGGTGAGGGAGGGAGGGAGGGAGAGAGGGAGGGAGGGTGGTGCGTTGAGCCTGAGTAGGTTGAGAGTGTGTGTCGTGTGGATGTGCCACATGGTCTGTCTGTGACCAGGATGCTGCGGCGACCCTGTTCGGCTTCCCGTCAGCAGACCGGTCGTACCGTTCTGAGTTCACCAAGAACTACAGGGCACTCTTTCCAAACACTCAGAGGAACTACCGCACAGACGTCCTCGAAGCCGCTCTCGACTGGTAGAGAATAAGACACGAACACGAACACGCACCTGCGAATGCCTGGATATGCCTGTCGTTCCTTGTCTGTGTGGTGCGGTGCAGTTTCTGCTCGATTGTTGTGAATGGCGACACCCACCAATTTCGCCGCAGTGTCGTCACGGCCGGCCAGGAGCTGGCGGGCGCATGGCGGAAACTCATGGCCGCAGTAAGTAGAGGGATAGGCAGAGAGAGAGAGAGAGAGAGACGGGAGGGGGATGGCATCACCGAAGGGCCGGCCGTCTGAGCGCTCTCCTCTTTCTCCTGACTGACATTCAGCTGCAGACGTACGCCAACAGAGGGATGAAGGAGCCCACCCTCGACAAGTGGCGGTCCATTTTAGAGGCCGACTTCACCCTCCTAGACCAGAAGTGGGCCGAATTTGAGAAGCAGTACATCTATGAGCTGATCGCCATAGAGAAGAAGGCGCGGCTGCCAGTGGTGGAGCTGGCACAGGTGGAGATGCAGCTGCACTCGATGGAGATGGGCATCAAGACGCCGGTCAAGTACCGGGACCTGCGCGCGTCGTTTGTGCGGAAGGTGTTTCGGCTGAACAGCATTGCCAACACGCGGCGCAAGGGGCGGGACGACTTCACGGTGGACATACTCGACTGCTGCGAGGATGTCATCACGCTGGCTGGTGAGAGGCAGGGATGGAGGGAGGGGGGGAGGGAGGGAGGGAGGGAGTGATGGCTATTTTTGTGTGTGTCTATCTCAGACAGGTCGCCCGACCACTATCTCGCGGCCGTGTCGGCGCTAGCCCAGGCAGCTAGACAAGCACTCCGCGACTTCAGATGGTAAGCAGCCCACCCACCCACCCAGCCAGCCGTGGCCCAACAACACACGACACACACTCATCCTGTTGTGTGGCTGTCTGTCTGTATGTCTGTCTGTCTGTCTGTCTGCAGCCACCTGCGCGCGTTGCACAAGACGCCCGAGAGGATCGACCCCCACCTCCAGAACAACACTCAGATCGTCAAGCACCTCGTGCGTATCGAAGAGACCTGGGAGATCGCACACAAATACCTGCGGGTCATCACACACACACACACACACACCCCGGCCGAAGAAGCACCAAGCACACCTTTCTGTCTCGTGGATGCAGTGCCCGGCCATGACGAGGCATCTGATTGAGCTCGTCGATTACATGCTGCGCATTCTCGACATGCAGAAGAGGTGCCTCCGTCCGCACCAGGAGGCCTTTAAGCGACACATCGCAGACACAATGCGCGAGCGGACGGCCCAGGAGAGGGCCACGCTGGCCGGTGATGGTGATGGTGCTGGCGCTGGTGGTGGTGGGGGTGCGGGCACTGGTGCGGTGTGTGGTGGTGATGGCGACATTGACGAGTCCCGATCGCTGGAGGACAAGATGATAGAATGCGACGTCGAGGCGCTGCTCATCGTAAATCTGGCCACACACCCCCTCATCCCACACCACTACACAGGGATGTCACTCGGCTGGCTGGCTGTGTGTGTCGTTCTCAGATGCCTCGTCTGGTGTGTCTGTACGTCCTCACCGACCCTCATCGCATCGACGTGCTGAAGGCCTTTATACCACACCTGTTCCCACCTGACCAGAAGGACGACGGCAGCCATGGCGTTCTGCCGGGCGTGACGGTACCACCAGCCCTCAGCGGAGTGGTCGACACATTCAACGTGTGCCAAGCCATGTTTGTGGTGAGTGAACGAAATGGATGGATGGATGGATGGATAATTCGGTGCGTCTGTGTGTGGGCTCTTTGGGCAGCTGGACGGCTACAGTTGGGACGTCTTCTACACATTTGTCATATCGCGGTTCACAGGATGCGGCGCGCACACCCAAGTGGTACGTACTCACGGGCGAAGGAATGGAGCATTCAGCTCTCTTGATTTGCAGAGGGATTCGTTGCGTGAGCGGCTGGAGGCCTTGTTCCACGAGGTGGAGACGCTTTCGATGACGCTGCAGCGACACACGCCGAATGAGTGGAACGAATTCATGCAGGTGAGGTGATACACACATACCATACACCCTGACAGCACCACAGGACCTACCGCATTTGCACACGTGTCTGTCTGTCTGTGGTTGCGATGCTCTCTGCAGGTGTGTCTGAAGTGTCTGAAGCACAAGATGGAGCTGTCCGCTCGGAAAGCCCCGTCGCCCTCACTCACACCCTCGTCCCCACCCATCCATCCAGCGTCCGTCATGCGACCGGCCGGCCGGGCCAGTGTGCCCTCCTCCGTCGCGCCCTCTTCGCCCCCCGCCCGTCCCCAGCTAGCTCCAGTGAGGGCCTCCCGTGCTGAGTCGCCGGCCGAGGGGGACGACAGGCGGTCGAGACAGATGCTGCGCATGTTTGACAGTCGCTTACACACACGTGGCGGTGCTGTGCTGCCTCGGGTGGACTTCCCCCAGGCCAATCCGATGCTCCCGGATGTGCTGCCATCCACCCCGCCGCAAGCCGCCAGGACACAGCCCAGGAACAGATAGGGACAGACGCCTGGGCGCCTGATAGACTGACCGACTAATCAAAGCGTTTTTCCTTTTTGTGAATTCATCTGTATGTCTGTATATGTCTGTATTTCTGTATCTCTCTAATTGACGTTCTGTCAATAACGATATCGCGACGGGCGAAGCCAAGGGAGGGAGGGAGGGAGGGAGGGAGGGGCTCGTTGTTTGTTCGCTGCCTGCTGCTTGCTGCTGTGTGGGGGAATGACTGACTTCGGTTCGCATGGCGTGCGTGGGGTGTGCGTTCCGTCACGTACAGGCAGTCAGTCATGTAAAGTAAGTTTCGTTAATTTGGCCGCGTGAGTGTGGGTCGGGGAGAGGCAGAGAGAGAGGCAACTTGCCTGCGTGGGGTGGGTGGGGGGCGGCCGCGAGATGAGATGGGAGAACAACGTGTGGCTGTGCTGTCTGTGCTGTGCGTGGGGTACGCGACTTTTGTGTATGCCTGAATTCACTCACAGCGACTGATGCAACCAATCAACGAATGGATCTGACTGCGTGGGTGACGTCACGGATGCGATGCGGTGCACGACAGAGATCATTTCATTTCCCATGACATGAACATCATGACGAGTCCGTCCGACACTGATTCCAGTTTCCGCACCTCGTTGGCCTGCTGGCCCTGCCCTGTGAGACGCGTTAGCAATGCCGTCAACAAGCGACAGAGCGAAAGCGTCTCAGCTGGTCGGACGACACAGGCCACCAAGGGAGCGGGACACACATCGATCCAACATGGAAAGCACCAGGAAAATACGTTTCCATCACAGCCAAAGCTCATGATATTCTCACTTCTCTCTCGCCACTTGTTGGCTAGCGCCATTGGTTATTGGTTGTGGATCCCCGCCTCCGTTGGCCCTCCTCGTGGATGGCATAGTGTGACACCTTTGTGAAAGATGTCACACCTCGCCATCCATGAGACTTTCACACGGAAGGGAAGACGCACAACCGGCGCGCAAGAACGCATTCATCAGACACACGGCAACCTGCTGTCACTGACTGACCACGTGTGTCGAAACAACACCACTTGGTAGCCCATCAAAACCAGCCCTGCTCCTTGCTCTCTCCTCCTGTCGGTCGTCGACGTGTCTCCCATGTCTGTCACGCGACCGAGTTGCCCGCGTCGATGTGAGGCGTGTAGCTGACGCATCGCATCGCAGCGGGCCCCTCATCGCGCTACAACTACGAAAGAACACGGTCACCGACCTTGGCCCTCTCTCCGTCCGTCCGGCATAGCGAAAAACACATTGGCCAAAAAGAACCCAACGCCGCAATCACTGTACAGCAACTCCCTCGCCGCAGCAGGGGGAAAAACGAGCGGCTAGAGTACACTACAGTGAACTGCATGCCGCTACACACGCGCACACGCGCACACAGACACGCCTCCGGGCATGTATGCCCCTCACCCACGACACGACAAGGCGGCTTGACTGTACACTCGCTCTCTGTCTCTCTCCCTCCTTCCTTCCTCACTGTCTATGGACCAAATATGGCCCCTCTACACTGTCGACGCCCCCGACAGCCTTGATACTGTCAGCAAACGCCCTCACGACGCCGTCGTCGTGGGGCCAGCAGCTGAAGGTCAGCAGCATCTTGGGCACATTGCTCCGGAAGTGCCACCCGTTGCCGAACAGCCACACCTTGCCGCCATCCTTGCTGCTGGTCGACGACCAGTCCGACAAGAGCAGAAAGCTCGACACGTCCACCGTGTGCAAATGCGGGCGCTTCGGGCCGATCGGCGGTCCTGACGAGTCCTCGGGGCGCCGCCCTGGCGGCGGAGAGGATGCTGTCGGGCTCTCGTCGTCTTCCTCGCCTGCCGGTGATGGTGTGGGTGTGGGTGATGGTGAGCTTCCTCTTGACGCACTGCTGGTCGGCGACACGTCGAACATGCCGCTGCTGCTGGACGATGGCGCCGCCCTCTTGTCGCTGTTGGTCGCCTTGCTCCTCATGTGTGCGAGGTGATGCAGCAGCGCCTCGATGTCGCCCCTTACCTGCATGACGTACGACGCCGCCTTGCAGTAGGAGCGCAGATACAGCCACAGCGCCAGGGTGGAGAAGGTCAGGTGCGTCTCGCGGCCTGACGTGTTGGTCGACTGACCGTATACGGAACAACTGCAAGCATCACACACACACACACACACACAAACAGCCTGGACGAATGCGCTCCCTGTAAGAGTTCATGCTTGTGAGTGGTGCGTTACATACCTGCTGACGAGTGGGTCCTCAGCACCATTGGACACATCCAGTGCGGCCTCGCACCTCAGAGGCTCCTCGAAGCGAACGGTGAGGGAGCGGGAGAGCAGCGAATGGCCGCCTGTGTCCACTGTGAGGCCCAGGCCGACGTGAGGGCCGAGGAAGCTCAGCTGTGCCAGCGAGGACGGCAGCTCCCTGAAGCTGCGGAGGCTCTCCTCGTCATTCGCGTCATCGTCGCCTGCACACACAACACAACACAAGGCGGGCATTATATGCAGATGAACACCTGTGTCCCCCTCATCCCCCCCTCGGCCACATGCGCGCACCTATGACGATGTCTCTCCTTCCCAGCCGCCTTCGCAGGCCTATGACGTCGTCCCATCTGCCCCAGTGCCTGCCCGCTTCGATTATCATGCTGGCCCTCGCCCACACAGGTGCCGACACATCGACGGTGAAGGGAACCGATCCACGCGGGCGTGGCGAGCGTGTCCGGCGGTAGTCACTCAGCCGCAGCCGGAAGTAGGCGGGACTGAGGGCGCAAGACGCCTCTGTACACGTCGACTGCAGGGTGAGGCACGTTTTCGTATCCAGCCACTCGGCAATCTCGCGGAATACGTCTGCAGACCATTCCATGGTGAAGCAGCAAGCTCGCTTCGTTTTTGAGCAGTTTGACGGATGTCTTTCGTGCCGCTTTGGTCCGCCGTGAAACCGCTATCTCCGCTACTGCCGGTGCTGCTACCATGGCCCTCATCTGTGCCGTCCTCGTGTCCCTCGGCCTTGCTGCCGCAGATGCTGCTTCTACGCCCTTGACGGCGTACACACGTCTCCAACAGACAAAGGTGCGGCCGTCCGCCGTGCATCTCCTGGCGCCGCAGCGGCGGGGCAAGACCAGCGGGTTCTTGGATGCACTGAAGAGCATGTGTGCTGCCTGCTTCGTGTCGGAGAACGGCAAGGACAGAGATGAAGGGGGACACAACTACATGTTCGATGCGGACGTCGTTTCCTCCCCAGATCAGATCATCATCACTGCAGGTGATCGAGTGGGAGGGCGGGCAAATACGCGACAGTGACGAGACGAGAGATGCACGCATTCGGGTTGTTTTGTCTCACTCTGAGTGTGTGGTGCGTGTGTGTGTGTAGATCTGCCCGGGCTCAAGAGGAACGACCTGACCATGCAGGTCAACAACGAGGGACTCCTCACCATATCCGGCGCGCAGAAGCAAGCCTTCAAGGTGGGTGGGATGACCGACACTAGACAGACGGACAGCAGACATGCCGATGCAATGCGGATGCCGGCCCACCAGTCTGTCTGCCTGTCAGTCTGTCTCCTCTCTCCCTGTGTGTGTGGCTGTGTGTGCAGTCTCCCATCAGCAGTGAATCCAACAGCCGATATGTCCTCCGTGAGCGTGCCAAGGGCCACTTCCGCCGTTCGTTCCACCTGCCCGAGGCGGCCAAGCTGCCCCGCATCCGCGCCAGGTTAGGAGGGATGATTGCTGAGGGATGGCGGGGGTGCCGAAATGCCGCTTCATGCTCACCTCCTTCTCTGTGTGTGTGTCAGGATGAGAGATGGGGTGCTGGAAGTCAAGGTGCCACTGAATGTCGAGTGCACACGCGAGCGGGTCGTCAAGATCCGATAGACGGACATGGCGACAGGGCGGGGGAGGCATTTAAATCATGTGTGTGTGTGTGTGTGAATGTCCATGGTTGCTTTCTCGGTTGGGTGCCTCCCTGCCTGTCTTTTGTGGGTTTCAATCAATGGTGCTTTATGCTATGCAGGCGTGCAGTGCAATGGAAGCAGCGGAAGGAAGATGCACACGGGCTGGGCTGATGGCCACGCACGCACGTGAGTGAAAGGATTTAAGGGTCCCCGGGCCGTTCAGTGGTTGGTCGGTCCGGATGGCTGTATTGTAGCTGCCTGCCTGCCTGGGTGCACGTGTGTTGGCTGCTGGTGGCCAACCCCCCCGTCGCACTGGTTGCTGCTTGTTTCTCGGTCTGTCTGTCTGCCTGCCTGGTGCGCACACATTGTGTTTTTGCGACGCGTGCGTCCATGTACACTGACACAATTCCACACACACATATATATATAACCGACCAACGGCGGCAATTCATCCATGGGATCATCGAATGAGGCCAGGGAGTGGGAGGTATGTGTGAGCAGTGTGAGCGTTGCGTTTTATCTGTGAGCAGTGTGGTGTGGTGTGGGCGGGCTGGAGTGGGCTGCCTGCCGGTTGGGTGCTTGCCTGTCTGTCTGTCTGTCTGTCTTGTGGGGTCTTTCAAGTCTACTGACTTACAGACCGATCGCAGAGAGAGAGAGAGAGAGAGGGAGAGGGAGAAAGGGACAACATGAGTTCGCACCGGGTCCATCCATCTATTGCTCACGGTGGGTGGCTGTGTGGGCCTGGATGCCCGTTCGTTTGGTTGGCGAGTCAGAGGCAGGCAAGGCAAGTGCGGACGCCGTACAACAAATGGGGGGGGGATATCTTATGGTTTTGTGTTGTCATGCGTGTCTGCTTCTTCGCATTCTGTCCGTCCGTCTGTTGGTGCGTCTGAGAGTGGCAGCGCACCGCTCGATCGGCATCATCGCCGTGCTGATTGGACAGTGTCTCTGCGCCTCTTCCACGCTCCGACAGATGAGATGTGAGACCGATTGCAACGTCTAAGCAAGTTAGGCAGGGCAGAAGGGCCCTCGCATGTCGGGTAGGGTGGGATGGGGACGCGTGTCATTTTCAAGCCATGGCTGTGTGTTCTGAAAGACCTTCATGGGTAGGGCACGTGCGATGCTTGATCGGTAGAGTAGTCACTGAGGGGGTCCGAATGGCATAACCTTGGCAAACAGGCTGTCATGTCACCCGCCTCATCTATCCGCTTGTGAGTTGGCTGGCGAGGTGGACAGTGATTGTTTTGGCGACATGGAGCATTGGCACACCCACGCACGCACACGGGTCGTGTCGGTCAGCGACACCCACAGAAAGGGTCAGAAAAGCTACGGTCCGCTAGGGTCAGAAAAGCTACGGTTCACCACCGAAAACCCACAGAGACAGAGCAGCTAGCTAGTAGCCAACTACCCTACTCGGGCCAGTGCAGGTGGCTGGGCAGGGACATGTGCCGCCTCTTCCTCCACGTGCCATCCACTACTTGTTCCTCCTCGTCGACGTCGGGGAGGACCTCGATGGGCCCGATGCTCTTGTCATACCGGCAGGCCTCGACGTTTGGCCTCCGGCGTTTGCGGCCCCTCGAAGTGTCCTCCGTGGCCTCGCTGCCGCCGCTGCTCCTCGACGCCTCTGAAGGCCCCTCGCTCTCCTGATTGAGAGGAGACACACGCAGCCACACAGACAGACAGATAGACAGACAGAAAGACAGATAAATATTCCGCTGGTTCTCGATGGTTTGTTTGCCCACCCTCTCGTCGCCTTCGCCAGTGCTCTCCTCCTCGTCTGTGGGCTCTTGCGCTGGCGGGCTTGGGGGCGGCGGCTGGGGCACCACGAAGCCCTGAGACACAGACAGACAGACAGACAGATGGGAGGAGAGGAAAGGCATCAGAGAGGGGGAAGCCGCGTGTGTGGATGTGTCTCTGGTCAATTGTCTGTGGTCCTGCTTACGGCGTCGCGGAAAGCCTTCTCGAGGCTGTCCTGGTGGTATGTCTGTGGGCCCTCCTGAATCCTGAATGGATCAAGGGCACACAGACGGACATCTTTTCATTTCCCTTTTCCCTCCCTCCGTCCCTTTCTCGTCCTTTACCTGGAGATTATGTCAGTGACGGCCTCTGTGATGCCGTCGTACAGCCTGCTGCCCGGCGGCAGGGGCGTGCAGAAGAAGGGTAGGTCATTCAGGAACTTCAACAGAAACTCTAACTCAGCCTTCACATCCGCAGACACGGCCTCTGCACACATCAATCACATCAGCCCAACATAAATAAGTCGACATATGAATGTCAAAGTCGACATATATACAATTGCATATATTCCATACACCCACCCACCCACCGGGCAGCATCTCAGCGATCTCCGCTATCTTCTTCTTTTCCACCCTCTTCCTCACGGACAGGTATCTCTCACACGCGGCGGCGACTTCGGGCGAGTCCCAGTTCAGGGGGCTGGCCTTCTGCGCACTCTTTACCGCTGCGAAAGCGGCATTCGGCGCCGGCTCGCCCTGCGCCTTGGTGGCGACCATGTCTAGGCAGCAGCGAAACGCAGCACTCAAATCCCCCCTGAAAGAAATCAAGAAAGACACGAATGAAGAATCCCTCAATGAATTGGTCGGTCCTTTCTATGCCAACCTGCCGCATTCTGGCCGGCCCCTGAAGGCGTGGTGGCCCTGGTAGGCCGGTGCTCCTCGCTGCATGGTCGCCCTGCGGCCGAGGAAAATCCACTCTAGAGGCTGCGTGTGCAGATACAGCGCTCGCGTGGCGTCGATGAGTCTGACGCCGAAGGGTGCCCTCTCGGTGTACATGACGTTGTTCTTGTTCAAATCCGTGTGGGCCATGCCCGCGTCATGGAACTGCTTGATGCTGCAGACCTGCATCCACTCATTCATGCATGGCATGCATTCCCTTTCGTGAACGGATCAGTTGTGCTTACCATATCAACGTACGTCTGCAGTGCGGCCGTGAGCGAGAGAGGCCGCTTCATGGTGGCCTCGTACTTCCTGACGAAGTCGGTGGCGTCGCACTGAAGCTTCTCCAGGACCAGAATCTTCATCGTGCGTCCGCCACCGACCTCGTGTGCGGCGACCCCCATGACCCGGGGCACACGCGGCTCCTCGCCCTTGCTCTTGGCTGACTCGTAGATGGCCGTCAGCTTCTCGCCCTCTGCGGCGATGGCGCCGTCGCCGGCGGCACAGTGAGCGGCCTTGCCGACGTATAGGTCCCCGCGCCGGTCGGCCAGGAGCACACACGCCCCGTCAGCTCCCTCTTTTATCACTTTGACCACCTCGAGGACGAGCGCCTCACGTCTGCCGCTGGCAGGGGCCGGCAGCTCTATCTCTGTGCCCGCGGGAAGGGGAGGGGGCATCTTGAATGCGCGTTGGGGGAAGGGG